CGCAATATTGAGACAAAATGCAAATCATCGGTACTTTACGAGAGCCACCGATATATACAACGTCTTGAGCAACACATTCAGATCATTGCTTACGAAAACTATATGATTAAATACGATCGGTTGGTACTCAATATGACACAACAGGGTCCTATCAATCTCACTCACCACCATGATCAACATCACCAAAAGCAAGGTACATACAGTATATAATGCCAATTTCTTATATATGCATATTTTAAAATAATTTATTAACAGATAATACAATTGCAAATAAAATACGTGCTGAGATTTTGGCGAAAAAATAAATAAATTTTTAAAAACAAATTTATGATTATTAATATATAATCAATAATAACAATATTTTGTTTAATTATCTTTAATAAAAATGGAGTCTTATTATCGAAATTATGTTTTATTTAAAAATAAAAAAATTTAGAAAAAAAATTACATGATAAACGATACAGAGTATATAATTATATGGATTTTCTTTTTCTACTTTGATATGATTTTAAATAAAATATAAAAAACATGTAAAAGAATATAAAGGGCTGAATAATTGCCAAGTATTTCAATGGTTTCGGGTATTCAGATAAATCTCCAAATAGCACACAATATATGGCGTACACTATAAGTATCGCAAACTGTATTAACTGTAAACGAGTTAAGTATCTCTTCCACCATAAATAGGGCTGTATTTGAGGTCCAAATGCCGACAACAGGTAATAGCTATACATAAGTGTATGAATGATTGAATTCAGTAAACAAAACACTTCGATAACAACGGTTTGTGGACACAGTTTGGCCGTCAAAAAGCCTAATACTGGTACTAAAAATAATAATAAATTATAACATTAAAAGCACTGAATATATTCTTAAAAAATATACCCATAAAGTGATGGTAAATATGCAAAAATGATATTTGATTTGACTTTTTTCTCAACACAAAAAATACGGTATCGAATAAATCAATGAGTTTTGTGTAAAAATAAAATACTTTTTGGTTTAACTCATACAAAGTCCCATCGGACCAGTCGTTACGGTCGGGCAGTTTCGGGTCTAACGATTTGCGCCCGAAGGTTAACCAATTGAGTGCCGCGTATATGAAGTACCCGTTGATCAATACTAGTATAAAATTATGTATCATTAATACTCTGTTTAACGCCAACGGCTTTCGGTGGGCCATTATATTAGGCCCTAATTTCATCACAAACGCCAACCATATGACCATAATTGTGACAAACATCGCCGGACCCCCACTTATCAAGTAATAGTTTCGCAGCCGTCTGTCCGTCTCGTCCACCCAATACTGATGAAACATATATGTAAATCCATTTGATGACTGGATTTCACTTTGATTGTCCCTATAATTCTAATATTGATATATGATATTTATTTTATTGTGATTTATTTATTTGTATGCCTTACACTACAATGTAAATATTTACCATATGTATAAACTTGTCAAAAAATTTTATAACAATAATAAAACAATTGGATATTTAAAAAATAACCATGCATTATTGTTTAACAGCTGTTTATAAAGTTCTTGAAACAATACAAATAAATGCACTTCTAAATTAAATAAACCCAATCAAGGATTAATTATCGTTGACCAAGGACTTTTAATCAAACAATGTATTATTTACTTATCCCATTTATATTAGTATTAACTTTATTAAATTCTGTATATTAGCAATATAATTATAACCTTACAATAATTAATAATAATTACACAATAATAATTTGGTTTACAATAATTATAGGTTAGATAATTAACGTTTATTAACTCAATGTACTGTATGTTTAAATACTGTGTAAAATTAATAATACATGTAAAGTACTTTAAATTTAAAATACTTTATGTACATGTAAATGCATACTTTATACATTATACTTTATACATCTCTTGGATGAACACCTCCTCATAAAAAACGGTTTTGAAATATATTTTGGATTTTCTATACCTATGACAGAACCTCCCGCTGGATGAACCCTCCCTATAATAAACACTTTTGTCGTGCAACTGACCGTTCATTATAGAGAAGTTGCACTGTATGCGTTGAAATACTAATTACTGTAGACTAGTTTAATTAAACTTTTTTTTAAATATAACAAAGTAAATATTATACTTTAATTATTAAAGTTTAATATAAAAATAATAACAAATTACAAATTGTAAATTACAAAATATAGATATTACTACATAAGACATTCCAGTAAATTATAAAATAGTTTGCATTAAAACTTTATAGTTTAGTGATTGTTAGTTAACGTTATTGTAAATTATCTCATTAGCCTAAAGATCTGTTTATGATATTATTAATAAAAATATCTACAATAATACAATATGAAAAGGTCTGTATGCATATAGTAAAATTCAATTGCTATTAACTTATGATCAAATGATTTTTACTAACGCGAGCTTACGGTCAAATCATTTTTACGTTCAGTCTATTCATTATTACATAAGTGAGAGTTGTATGGAATGAATGCATAATAATGAATAGACTAAACGCAAAAATGATTTGACCGTAAGCTCGCGTTAGTAAAATTCATTTGATCATAAGTTATTAGCAATTGAATTTTACTGTAAGTTGACTACATTGTAGTTCAAAATAAAGTTTATTAAAAAACTATATTTCCCGTTATTTTCTAGCAATCAATTATTTATCGATGAGTCCATACGACTGTCAGGCGAAGCGTTGCCAAAAGATGTTTTGAAAATTTTGTACAAATGTGAAAAATGCGCCCAAAATTCCTGTATTTTCCTGTATCACAAATTATTTTTCTTAAATATCATTTAATGAAATTTATTTATAATGAGGTTTTTTTTCAACGTACTCATTATTAATACAGGTGTTCATTAATACATTGTGTCAATTAAAATCACATTAAACTAAACAAAATTAAAAACAAAAATTAAACGTTATGAAAGGTTCAATAAAATAAAAAGAACAGTAAAAGTATTATAAAGTTTTTTTTTATGCATTTCTATGTTAATAATTTATTAGCGTTAGGCAAACTACTAGCCGCGGTTATCCTTGAATTATTACAGATGGCTAATATACATAGTGTAAAACACAAATATGCTTCAATTTCACTTCTAATCTTTAAAACTGTTAACACAGGTTTAACATAAGGAATGCTAAGTCTATAGCAATGCTTATCTTATGGGTAATGTTATAACCGATTAAATATCAACAATAATATTAGAAAATTTAAAAATTTTTAACAATAAAGTATTTTGGAAAAGGTTATAACCTTCAACCTGCATTGAATGTTCATGTGAACATTTATTGCATTATAATTTATTCTATTAAATACTTTGATACTTGGTGATTCATATATAGTATGTTACTAATATTAATGTCGGCTTTCCTATATTTATATACTATAAACTTAATGAATATAAAAAATTTACAATGGGCAGTCGATAATTAAAAAGCGTAACGTTTATCATGATTAATGCACGAGAAATCATACAAAGTCAGACAAAATTTACGTCTAATTATTTTTAAACTGTGCCGGTTCCTGGTTATAACTGTAAAAGTTTTTTTTAACCACAATTTAACTATTAATAATGTGATTTATAGGATCGTTTGGCCCCAATCCTATGGGAGATTATTTTTTTGTGAAAGCAAAATATAAAGCTAAAATGTAGTTTTTCTCCATGTTAATCTTATGAGACTAATGTTAAATTTATTTGAGAATGCTTTAACATGGGTTTCTATGGGATTACAGCTTAAGTCTACGATATAGGCTCAACATGGGCAATGTTAACTATATGGATAATGTTAATTCTATGGGCAATGCTAATGTTTACATATCGCTGTGTTAACCTTGTTTTCGTTAATAAAGGCAAAAAAGTACGAGGCAACTAATAGAATAAGTAATGATACTTTACGTTATATTCTCAGAATACGATCATCAAATAACATAAAAGCAAACATTGATAATATTATTCATAATAAATAATTACAATAATATTGTTTTTTGTGGATTATTTGTATAAATATAACTTATTTTCTTAAAATATTTGATTTTTTAATAAATAATTAGTTTAGAAATATTGAATTTATTTTCGCATCCTTAATTTTGCATTCCTCCCATTACTTTCACCCCTTTGCCTAACGCTATTAATAATTAAATATAAATTTCAGCGATATGTCAAGACAGTATATGAAGAGTTGATTAAAATTACTACATTTACAACTTATTATAGAAATATTTATTCCTGTATTCTGCAAAAACCCCTTAATTTCTGTATAATACAGGAAATTCCTGTATGTTTGGCAACGCTACATACATTACACTTTACTAAATTATAAAATGGTTTGCATAAAAACTTTATAGTTTAGTTATATTTAGTTATTGTAAATTACCTCTTTAGCCTAAAGATCTGTTTATGATATTATTAATACAAATATCCAGAATAATACAATATGAAAAGGTTTATATCCATAAGTTTGCTACATTGTGGTTTAAAATACAGTTTATTAAAAAAAAATTATATTTCCCGTTATTTTCTAGCAATCAATTATCTATTGATGAGTCCATACGACTGTCAGGCGATGTCTTTGAAAACGTGTTGCAAACCAATGATGTGGTCAAAGCGTTGGCAGATATTGAGCCCTATTGTGAGCACAGTATATATCACTGTT